GCGGCAACCACATGTGACGACCCCGGGCTGGACTCCGCTTCGTCCACGGTGAAAGCTTTAAAAGCTCCAGACATGATGAAGCGGATATCGTCCTCTTTTGGAAGGCCAAACAAAGTAGTTTCGCTTTCACAACAAAACACACAGCGCCTTCACGACATGGCGGCGGCGGCAACAACAATACTACAGCGAGAATAAAAGTTACGCCTTCTTTCTTTGCGTGAACAGTTGGGCGGCGTTATGCAAATCTTCCCACATCGTGACGTAGACATGTGGGGGCATGTAAGAACGAGGCGTTTTAGGTAGGCGTGGTTGACTCTTAACATTTATAAAGAATATCTCTTTGGATTTTAGACTTTAGTCTTTGCAACTTTACAGATCTTCTTTATGCACCAAGAGCTTGTAACACTCCAAAGAGAAAGGAAAAATTGAAATCGCATCATATGACCCCTTTAATCAGCAGTGCATTAAAAAAGCTTTATGGCCTCCCCTCCAGTCTGAGACTATTTGAGGGTCTTGAACTTATTTGCAGCTTAGCGTACCATTGTGTGCACAAAGCAACTGCATGGCTTTCCGCCAATGACTGTCAATCTGCTAATGCTCCTTGATTACCAATGTCCTCTCAAATAAGACAAACTGGATCATGGGGAATCAATCCATGCAACATTAGCAGATAGGCTCGACAACACATTAGACAGAGGGGAAGGTGAATGTACGAGTGTGTGAGCAGAGGTGAATGGCTCCTGATTCATCAGATTCTCTACTTTATGCCAGGTGAATTTCTCAATTTCACAGTCAGCGAAAATGTCAGTGGGTTACACCCCTCATCCTTCTGCGCTATGGCCCAGTCATCAGACAGTGGATAAGATCTTGTGAGTATGAGGGAAGGTAGCTTTAAATTTCTTCTAGTGTTTGGAAATATATTTGAACAACAATAAAATGAAACATCTGGTATGTAAAATGAAAACAAAAAGTGTAAAATCAGACAGGTTCATCAGCTATTTTAACCCACACTTAGATACTCTAAAATGTACAAATTAAGTGGCTTTATTTGAAAGTACATTTGTCAAAACAGAAGGTTACTCTGTGAACTAAGAGAGCAGAAACAAAAAATTAAGATTGGTAACAGTGTATACACACACCTCACCTGTAATTTCTATTGATTCACTGAGAAATAAAATAAAACAAGGCACTAAAACTGTTCATTGTGAGTGACCATGTTAGCATTGCATGGTCACTATTATCGAAGTGTATCGATCTTTAACTGTGGGATCCTCGATCATGCACCTATTCTCATTAATCGTTATATAATGTAGCACTTCATAGAAGTAGAGCCACTGACTGCCTTCTCACTGTGCAAGACAATTTTACAATTCTGACACAGCAATTTTCCCTATAGCAAGCTATCCCATTTGAATAATTCAGAAGTGTGAGAAGAGGGAAAATTTTCTGCAATTGGTCACAGTGTATCTCACAGTGCCTGCTATCTCAGAAATGTGCTGTCACCTGGCATGGTTTCACCTGATGGAAAGATACGGAAAGACAAATTTGTTTCGCTTTATTTGTGTTTTGTGTCACAATGCGTTTTTGATTTGGCTACACTTAATTACTTCCTAAGATGCTGAAACAATTAATGTTGACATGCTCTGAATTAGCATAAACAGGCAGATTCACTTGCAAGACAAAACAGCCCTCTGGACAGGGAGACATTAGCTTTGCTTTTTCTCTCCTTTACTTTGATTGTCAGGAGGGGGAGTCAAGCCGACAGGCCCAGAGGGAGAATGCCTGACAAGAGGAGAGAAGTACTTTGCCATTTCAAAGCATCTCCATGTTATCTTGTTTTTAGGCAGCAACTTTCTGCCTAAATTAAGGAATAACATCACGTTCCACAAAACAACTAGTTCAGTAAAATATATGTAATTGTCTATGGGTAAAGTAGCTTTATTAGTGATAAAAATATATATATATACTAGATATATGATTGAAGGATCTAAAGATACAAGAAAAACCAAAATGCTGATTATTTTCAGCAAATAACTGAAATTATTAATAACTAAAGCATTATATATTTTATATTTAATTTATATTAATGTTTTAAAGATGAACTTTAATTATGTATTATGTGAATGCAAAGGTACAGTGACATACAAATAGAGGAAATCCCACTTTCCTTTTTGTGACCACTACTGCTACTGCAAACAACATTTTGACTGACAAACATAGGTTAGCACCATAAAAATAATATCAAATTCTTCACACCTTAAAAAGATGGGCTCTCAGGGATTTTAGGTTACTATAATTTGTCACAATGGCAGTCTCAGTGTCTCTGAACACCTCCGCAAGATTAGCAGAGTTAGGCATGTGTTTCTGTCTGACACGCATGCTCTTTTTTGGGCTTAAAAGAATATGTTCTGATCCAAGAGCCCAGGAGCAGTTCCATCTAATCTACTTCCCCTCATCTACATCCTCAGCAGTTCTGCTAAAAATAGATTCAGACTAATCTTAAGATAAAATGTGTCCACTTTGGTAATATTCTGTGTTCAATCAGTACTATGCGTCTGCTCCAATACAGTTTATTATGAAGACAATACAACAAAGAGCAATACAGTGTGGCATTATCCATTGTAGACGATATTTGGCCTGGATGAGCTGGATAAGAGGATTTGTGATAAATGGGCTGCTTAAAAAACATCATGTTGCTTTATCGGTATCAATCTGCTCTTCTTAGTTTGTTGGAATGTCAATTACTACTTAAAGAATCTGTTTATTCACCCGGATGCTTACGATATTCAGCCAAAGTCAAACTTACATTTTAATCCTACTATTAGGTTTAGGGCCTTGGCGCTTCTTATTGCAATCAGGCCCTCTGAAGCCACCTTTCCTTTTCCACAACTAATACATTCTTCAGTTTAAACCTTTTATCGCTGCTTCAATAACGACAGGTGTGGGAGTCCTCATTAAACGCAACTTCCTCATGAATAATTTTAATAAGTTAATGTTAAAGCCATTTTACACCTTAAAGGCAAAGCCTGTCACCAGCCTTCAATCGGTTACTTATCAAAACTGCCTTTTACAGTTAAATCCTCCTCGCTCGCGCAGTTGTTAATAGCTATGCTGCATTTTACCCTCAAAACATTTCATGTCACAGTATGAAAACATAATATTAAAGCCTCACAGGCTGTTCATGCAAAGTATTGATTTTGTTTGCTTCATATCTGAAGATGTAGCAAGCATGTATGCATGAGGCAGGTACTGATGCAAGGCACATACTAATGTATTTGTCATAAATTCTGACAAATGTTTTCCCCCAAGAGCTTGCCGTTGTTGTGAGAGTACATTACTCAGGCTTAAAGCAGAAGGCTAAAACTCCAGAGGCAGATTGATTTCACAACCCTTTCAATGCTGAGGCCTCATTGATCTGGCTTTCCTCAGCGCCTGACAGGGACCCCTGATGACAAATCTAAAATTTCCACCTCCTGTAATGAAGGGGACTGAGCTTTGTGTCAATTGTGAACAGCCACATATTTTCCGGCCATGTCCATTTCTCAAAACAGGAGGTGTCAGGAAATGAAAATCGTTTCAGCAAGAAGGGCAATCTATTAAACTGCTTATAAGCTACCTTCAAAACGCCAGTGACAAAATCTGATTAAATTGAATTAAAAGCGTGCAGCCACAGCCAATTCATTCATTTTTGGGGGATTGAACTCACTGCAGATTCTGACAACATGACACTGAGATAAAATCACACTTGTTAGAGGAAATCCTAGATTGCAAGATTTATGTTTGACACACAGAAAGCTACATGAACAGTGAACACCTATCTGAGGTGATGCAGAGAAATGCTTTTGAGATTACAAAGTGTTCAATTTTAAACATTTACAGAGGTCAAAATTTCCCAATGTTATGAACAAATTGTTATTCATAGTTTTCACATGACGTTACAGCCTTATGGGAACGCCCACCTGGAGGGCAAAACAAGGCTTTCTTCCGCTGCCAGCCAGATTGTACTAAGTACTAATGTACTAAGACAGTGATATTAAATAGTATACATGTTATTGATGATGCCTACTATATATACAGGCAAGCAGATGCACCCAGAATATAAATGTAACATGCCAAATTCAACATGAAGCATTTTTCCATAGAAAACCATTTAAAGAAAATTCTTAATGTGGCTTTAAGACAGTGATATTGCAGGACCAAATTCAATATACACCTTATTAATAAAACATACTATGTACAGACAGGCATATGAACCCAGAATATAAACCAGTACACAAAGTTTCATGTTCAGCGTTTTCCCATAGAAAACCATTATAGAAAGAAAATGCCTAACATGCAATTTAGCATTTTGCATTCATATTCTGGGCTCATCTGCTTGCCTGAATATAGTAGGTCTTATAAATAAGTTTTATACTGAATTTGCGATTTTAATATCACTGTCTTAAGGTTCTGTCACATTAGCAAATCTAGGCGAAATAACGTGAGCAAAAAAAGGTCCATTGTCAATAGTGTAGCGATTTACAAATCACTTCTCACACAAAAGTCACTTTCAGACCAAGCAGCTTTCTGTTCATACAATGGCCAAATCAGTCAGAACTGTTTCACTACCAACATTCTTTAAAATATCTTTTGTGTTCAACAGAAGTCAGTCAGTCATTCAAGTTTGTGAGTAAATGAGAACAGAATTTTGATTTTGGGGTGAACTATCCCTTTTAAGCCATGTTAAGTGTTTTAGAATGTCCCGCTGTCTTTAGTAATTGAAATACTGTGGCAGGTAATGTATATGGATAGCGTGCCCAAATCTTGCAGTTTCTTCACATATCTTTGTTTTTCTTCTTTTGAGAGGTGGTCTAAATATTTGTGGCTTGAAACAGATGGAAAATTGACAGGCCTGAGCTGGAGTTCTATGGATGTTCAGCCCTCCGGTTCTGTGTGCCAGTCACGTGACTGAAAACTATGAATTAGGTACTGCAGAGACATTAGAGGGTAGCACTACTCACAAGTTAGAGCCAGGAGCCTCGGGGG